GCATAGGTTGTATTTACACTAGAAAAATTGAACTTAGAGGCTGACTTTATTAAGGAGGCAGTTAAAGAGAAGATGGTTCAGCTCACAGGACACAGGTGAAGCATGCCTAGGCTGTCATTCATTTAACAGCTTATAAGTAACGACTTTGAGCTTATCTACTCCTCTAATTTCATGTTCATTGTTTAGGCTGTTACTATTGTTGTCTTCTATATGTACTTACATGGTATTTGCCTGATATTTTGCATAGATATTCTTTCTCCTGTTTAGTTTAATCTCTAAAATTTTTATTATTTTTGGAACCTGTTTATACAGTCAAATATGCTGGTTTTTGCATATTGTTCATGAAAAGTTTTCCTTTATTAGATTATTACAGCTTGATTCATATATTCTTATATGTTGACACAGAAGTGACTTTAATATGAAATTTTGCATCTATAACACTTTTACTGTTGTTTGAGACAAAATTCTTAGGATTTTAGATCTCATTTACTTATTTGATTATGTTGGTTTTTGAGAGTTGGTTAATAAACCGCATGTCAATTTTTATAGCGTACTTGGTGATTTTTTCTTTTTTCCTATACAGAGGCATTCTTGAGCTTAATTTTACATCCATATCTCTCCACATGTGCAATTTGATGTATAAAACTTTAAATTATTATTTTTAGAGTTCATTGGTAGGGTGAAATACAATAATTTTTAGATGAGACAACAAGACAGGGATATTCTTAAATAACCAATATTACAAGAGAAATTTAAAATCTTCATATGCATTTAAAATGATCATTTACCATTTAAATTAATAAGATTTCGCAAGTATGGAGATCCAATTTGTATATATTAAAATGACCATCATTAAAACTAACTCCCTTTTCATAATCTAAATTAATAATTTATTTAAGTCTCATGTGAGATTTCAAAATCTTCATAGAGACTTAAATTAATCACATTATCGTATGGGATAATAAATCCTCATAAATGTTATTATTCTCAATTTCTATAATAAATAAATGATTTTTGTAAATAGTGATATAATACATAATTTAGAAAAATTAATTAATTAAATTAATGTATTTAAATTGTAATCACATTTATCAATTATATCTTTTAGTCACGTGAGGTTTTTGAATCTTCATAGACTTTTAAGATAATCGTATTATTGTATAAGTTAATAAGACTCTGCAAATATAACGATTAAGTTTTTAAAGAAATATGTAAATTATATACATACATAATAAATCTAGTAAATTAATAAAAAATATATTTAAATAAATTTAATTTTTTTATCGTGTGAGATTTTAGAATTTCCGTAGATATTTAGGATAATCATATTACCATATAAGTCAATAAGGCTTTGTAAGCATGATAATTAATATTTTTTTTGAAAAAGTATATATGTACATACATGCTTAAAAAATTATTATTAATACGTAAAAATATACATGAGAATATAAATAAATAAATTAGGTTGCTAAATTCTTTTATTGTGTGAGATTTTGAAATCTTCACGGATATTTAGAATAATTTCATTACCGTATGAACTAATAAGGTTATGCAGGTATAACAGTTAAATTTTCAATCATAAAACATAAAAAAATATTTTTAAACTCTTTTCTTTTCTTTATTCCAAAAATTTAAAAATTGAGAAAATAATTAAAATTAAATTACTTTTTGTATTTTAAAACACACATATCAAAATTTTAGAAATTATTTTATTTGTAAAATGGTAAATTATTTCTAATTAATTTTTCTTTAAAAAATATTTTCACCAATAATTTTTAATCCCAAATTATGTGAACTTTAATCCTTATCACAGGATACATAGGCCTTAGAGTTTAATTTTGAGTCAAGTCCTCCCTTGTAAATAAATAAATATTTTTCACTTAATTCTTATCATTTTTATATCAAATGCATGAATAAAAAAGGAATAGTTAAAATAACTTTAAAACTATATTAATATAGCACAGCAAACTTCAAATAACCGTTCGGGTGTTGTGGGGTGCTTAACACCTTCTCCATACTTAATCAACTCCCAAACTTATTTTTTAATTTTGCAGTCCATCCTTCTTCTTCTTTAAACAGTTTTTCAAGATTTTTCTTAAAATTTTGGTAGCAACTTCCGTTCAGCCGGTTTTTGCCCTAAAGGTCGGAACCTCTGCTCTTGCGCCCTGTCCACGTCACATTTTTCAAATGCAACAAATGGACTCAGTAGTTGAATTTATATCATTCTCCCTCTTTTTCTCATCAATTTGGGAATGTGGAGTTAGAGTGACTAGAGTGAAAAACTCAAGAAGTTGCTTACTGCTCAATAGGTCCAATTGCTTGAGCTATAGCTTCCATCTTTGCCCATGATAGAGTACTTTACACTTGAGGACTCAAAAATGTAATTTCACTTGATGAGGCAAGCATTGTGAAAGGCTAAGGATTCTCCATCCATGAAGGAGGATGATGATCTTTCTTATACTGCTCAAGTCCTTCAAGTAGTGGTTTATGCACAATCATACAAGAAGAGGTCATGTAGACTAAGATGTATCACTTGGCTCTATCGGATAACTCTTTTGCAATTAAGTTGGTGTACTTGTACTCGAGGCTAGGTGAGTGCCAAAATGAGTAGGAGTAAGGGGAGGTGAAGGCATCTTACTTTGATCTTCGACCAATTTTTTTAAAGATGTACCTACCTCAATATCTTAGCAATTTCCTCATAAGATTTAGCAATCTTCACAACTCCCTCAAAAATAGTGTGTGCCTTAAAGCCTGCCTCTTTGTAATGTCTTCCTTGGCATTACCAAATACACAAAACATGAGACATAACACACCTTTATGATAACTAAAATTAATTAAATTCCTTAAATAAGGTTATCATAATACAAGGGTTTATAAAATTAGTTTAAAAGATTGGGATCTTAAGAAATTCTTTTTAAAAGATGTTTGAGCTCAAACTATAATTGAAAATAAATTAATTATGGTAACAAAAGTATAAACATTAATTACAACCCTTAAAAGCATCAAAGGAACAATCTTAAAAATTTCAAAAATTGCTCCATTTGCTACAACACAAGCATCACCCACCATGAAATGGCACAGAGGGACCACGTCCCTTTGCTGTGATGATAACACTTCATGACCAACTTTTAGAGTGTGTCAATTTACCATCCAATATTTAATTTGAGCGATTCAAGTGTTCATATGTAGCTCTTTGAGCCATTTAGCTATTGGTATCGATCTCACACCCAAACACTAAACCATTTAAAAGTTAGACACTCGAACACAAAATGGTACATTTTCCTTTCACAACAACTATAAGGGTATCTAAACCCACAAACATAGTGCCAATAACTTTAGAACCACTTGAACTAACTCAAATAGACTACAAACAATCAATAGAACATTTATACAATATCCAAAACAATCTAACACAAATTGGCCTCCAAAACCCTAATTCTATAATGAATTCAAAGGATGACAACAATTCACAATAAACATCATTTTGGCCATTCCAATACATAGACAATACAAAAACATCATGTGCACTAATATCTCGACCCCTTACAACCCATTCAACACAGAAACATCATTTTAGGTTGAGATACATACATTTACACAAATTCTCATGCAAGTGACTACAAAATGGCATATGATCCTAAATTAGCATAATCAATACAAATTTGTTACTTACTAAAAAAGAGAAAAGTTATACAAATTAAAGCTCTTCAGGACTTGATAGCCCCTTCCTTCCCCTTGCTTTTATCAGAGCCTTTATCTGTAAAATGTAACTATGAGATGAGTTGAGAACTCAATAACTAAATAATTTAAACAAAATACTCATGTGTGAGAACAATTAGTGAGTATGTGAAGTGAAATTTAATATACATATTCCATACATATCATGTTGCACATACACACATGGCTATACATTAGAGATATGCATGATCAACACACTGCCTTATGGACTTATTTTCTCTAACTGAATTTGTGGGCTAACAATTCGATAGAATTAGATTCATGTGACTGGATAGGCTCAAGTTTACCAATCATAGGAGGTAGCTCTGGCCAAAAGCACGTTCACCCACTATGGATAATAAATTCTCCCTTTCCATGAATACCTGAGGTGTCGTATGCTCAATTTATCTCAAATAGTACTAGAACTTCCAAACAAATATAGAATTGTGTATCGGGGCCTCCACAGTACCGGTGTACCATATGAATTTCAAAACAATGTTCCTGAATAGTAATACTAGGATGAACTCCTATCCTCTCACAATGATCATGCCAAACATATGCTTAACATTTCCACACATAGCCATAAACATATGAATTTACACTTGAATAATCATTTCCGTCATAAATCATACAATTTCACAAGTAGACATATATAAACATAGGATCTAGCATAAAACCATCGAAACCACAATTGTGCAAAACATAGTTATTCATCCCACTTCACATAAAGTTTTTAAAACATAATCATTTTTCAGTTTCTAAAGCATAATCATTTTTCATACTAATACTATACTAGTCTAAAGCAATAGTAGCTTTCACAATTGCAACACAACCGTCCAAACACGTAAATGGAGAGTTTAGACAATTCAATTGCCTCAATTCTTTTGTCACAAAATTTAATGACTCCAAAAAAAAGAAGAGAAAGAAAGAAAGAAAGAAAGAAAAGAAGGAAAAAAAAGAAAAAGGTTCTTTCAATTGGTATGTATTTAAACTAGTTTTATAGCAACTGGAGAGTGATAGTTTAGTAAAAATTATGCTACTAATTTCCTTAAAGGCCTAGAGTTCAAATTCTACTAAGTAAAATTTTAGTTTTATTTTTTTTAATTTATAGAAAAATTGTGCCCTTTTTGTAATATTTATTGTGCTCTCTATTGTAATTTTCCTTATGCTCTTTTTGGTAATATTCCCCAATTCATAATCCTTAGATATTTCTTCTATCCTTTGTGATTTAAGCTCCAGAGCATCGAGAAATTTCAAAATCTTCACACGTTCTCAGCCTTCTCTCCTCCTCGCCATCGTTCTTCATTCCTTCTCTCCTCCTAGTTGTTCTTCTTCATTCTTTCTCTTCTCCTCGCTGTCATTCATCTGTTCCTTTTCCACTCTCGTCTATATGCCACAGTAAAGGAGAAATATTGCAGCTTATTTCCTTCTTTGTTTTGAGGCTATCGTTGGTGAGTGTGTGAATTTTGACCTCATCATCCTTCCTTCTCAACTACTAAACGTTCGTGTATGTGTGTATTATAAGCTTAAGTCTTTTCATTTTTTGGTTAATGATTTTTGCTTCCCACCCACTTCAAAGAACAGCTGGGTGGAATTCTTCTCTTCTTCGGTGGTCCATGAGCTGAAATGTGACAGCTTCTACTGCACTTTAGTAGAGGTAAAATTCTGATTCTTCCTTCTTCTCCTTTGATTTCAATAGCTACGTGAATCATTCTTTTTCCTTCACTAGTTGAGGATGGTGCTCCGTTCTTTAATATTTTTGTCTTGACATTGGTAGGAAGACTTAGGTGTTGTTTTGGTTATTGTTGGAGGGTAATTTATTATTATGTTGAGCTGAAAATATGGTGAAGAAATTAGATGTTGAAAATTGTTGATTTTGCTTGGATGCTTGTGATATAATTTAGTTAATTGTGAATGTTCTTATATTGTTTGTAGGAATACTTGAAAGAAGAAATTGGTGGGAATAAGAGTTTGTTAAGCTTGGATTAGGAGTTGTGTTAATAATTGGGGCTAAATGCTGCTAAGTGTTGTTGATCACTTGATAGAATTTATGGAAGTCTTTAGCGAGAGTTTGAGGGGTTAATAGAAAAATTTAAAGAATTATTGAAGAGTTTGAATATTATTTCACTTGCTTATATGAAGAAGGAAAATCATAATGACATAAAAGTTATTGGTTTAAATGCTAGGTTAAATTGGAGTATGACTGAAGTAAGCGTGAAATTGAGGGAGTCTAACTATAAGATTATTGAAAACTCTTAGGTGAGTGGGTAGCATTTCGAATAAATCTCTAGTAAAATGTTTATAAAATTTCTTTATTTAAAGTTTAATATTATTCTTTTATAGGTGGATAAATAGTCTTGCAAATTCTTTTTTTATAATAATTGATTTATAAATGATGATTTCTTGATTTTTCCTATGATTTATGTTATTGCCAAGTAATGATTGAAGTTGATATATGACAAATGGTATTACGTCTCAAAAATAACTTACCTAATAAATTCTATGTTTGATATGAAAATGTTTAATATAACAATTCGTGCATGGAGGATAGAAGGATGAATATAAGAAATGGAAAACGATTGTTGAACAACTTATTTGAAAGTGAAAAATTTTGAAATTTTTATTCTTGCTCCATACACGCTTGATTTTAATTAGGGAGACTGAATTCAAAATATTGGATGCTAATGACAGTTCTGTTAACCCTTGGCGTGCCATGGTACACCTAGCTAACAGATTGTATTGGAGATGCTAGCCCCATGTGCTGACCAACACACATGGAATAGAGAATGTAGTTTCATGGATATAATTCACGCCTGTTATTTGTGAGCTTTATGCTTGTGCCTGTTTTTCGTGACTTCTTGCTACGTTGGATATGTTACTTATCCTCGTGAACTGTGTGTCTACGCTTGTTATTCATTCTGATAAAGCCCTCCTAGATTGAGCTTAAAACTTATCATTTTATACTAATTTCTTTAAAGGCATTTTTTAAAAAAATTGCATCAATACTTGAAATTTTATATATATTATAAATTTTTTTATAAACTTATCTGGTTCTAATATTGTTGTTGGTTCCACGATTTTACCATCAAGCAAACTTGTCATTTATTGTTAATTAAATCAAGTGTTTCATTATTTCCTTGATTTATTTAAATTAAATTATTAGTTACTATTTTCACATTTTTATTTTATTTATTAATTTATAATTTATAAACTCGATCGGGATGCTACTCACCAAAAATTTCTTTAGTCTTAAATATTGTAGCTGACCTGTGCCTCCCGCTGATCATCGAGGGGCAGTATTGTTTTTTGGATAGTGGAAGCACTCTTTGACCATTCATTTTGATGTAATTATATATTATGCTAAAATTATAAATTTAGCACTCCACATATATCATAGTTAGGTCCTAATTTTATTTTGTTAGTATAAATCTATTAGTGTGGAGCTAAGCTCCTTTTTGGTTTGGCTAACAGGTTTTGTTACTATAAAAACTTTGGAAGGTCTTAATTATTGAGGGATTCTATCAAAACTTTTATAAAATGTGTAATACTTTATGAACTTTATAAATCATATATCAATAGTTTAGTTTAATTCTTGATTAATTAAAGCTTATGGAATGTGAGTGTATATCATATTCTGTGTTAGTCATACCCTTAATACTAGGGTGTGACACAAAAAGGTTATCGTAGTCAAAACTTAGCTCCACAAGTGTCCGCAAGCTTAATGAGCTCAATTAATAGTTAATCTACAAGATTAAATATTAAATCATCAATTCTCATTCTAATTAACCCCCTTTTAGCATAATTTGAGGTACCCACTATATTCAAAATTTTACTTTAACACCATCAACTCTCCTAACACATTCCATTAATCCCATTTACTATCTAAATACTTAAATAAGCTCAAATCTTTACCCACATTATTTCAAAACTCTCAAATTTCACTCCGGGTTTGTCCAAACCCTAACCAAAAATTTTGAATCATTATAAAATCCATAAATTAAGGTTTAGAAGTCTGATTTAACTCTCCAAAATCTTAATTAAAGCAATGAGTTTTGTTACAACCTAAGGGAACACAAAATCAAGTCCCACATTACTTAAAACATTTAGAAATTTCATATAATGGGGGAGGGAGAGATATATGAAGCTTACCCAATGATGAATCTTGCCCAAAATGCCTCCAAATAGCTCCCAAGATCAAGTCCTGGCACCCACAAGCTCTTTCTCTGTCACTCCTCACATTTTCTTTCTTTTCTCCCTCTGACATTAGACACAATCTTGTGTCTGATTTAACCTAAAAATTGGCCATGCACCTTACGCCGCGGTACATGGCATAACAAACGCCACTTGCCAATATGGCCAACTGCTCGAGTTTGATTAACCCGCATGCCATTTAGCTCATTTTTCAAGTTGTTCAAAAGTCTAAAAACTTTATTAATGTTCCAAAAATAGTATTAATTTATAAATCACTTATTTTAATTAAATCACAGTTGTTAAACACTAAAATTTTAGTGTTTGCAACTTAGTATGTTACAGTCTTCATCTTTCTTTTACCCCTGATCTTCACGAGCAACTTTCTTAATAACTTTTTGAGCATTAGAACCTTAACTTCTTGGCTTGGTTGTAGGCACTTCAAAAGTAACACACGAGGAGGCACCTAATTAATGATTCAGAATTCCTTTGATCTTATGTATTTTATATTTTATATAGGTCTCAACTACAATTAGGAATTTATGTATATGTTCAAACCTCTCAATCGTTATGGACTCAACTTCTTCTCTCTCTCTTTTTTTGTTTTTTTGTGCTACTTTGAAAGAATGCAAAGCTTATGAAGCCTTCTTTTGTATAAATGTTATATGTCTAGATCAATCCAATTCAACACCTATGAGGCTTCAAGATGGTTTTTCCCACGATTTGTACACCTCATATTTGCTCATTGAGGTTCTTGTATTATTGTTTGAACATTTAAGTTTGAGTTTCTTGTCTTCTTGTGTTGTCGTTGTTATTTTTTTTTTTGGGTGGAAAATTATAGTGCATGAGGTATATAAAAAATGAAAAGCTTAGTCACTATATATATTATTGTGTTTGTGATTGATTAATGGCAACAGCTGCTTCATCATGAAAGAGATTGTTTTCTTACAAAACAACGACGTTGCAGATTCATCATGCCTATTAAGAAAAGAAGACGTCAGAAGCAAGGAGGGTCTTGTGGTACAAATTTAGATGAGCAAAGCAAGTATAAATGTTACAAACACATTGTTTATATATTTTGATAAAAAAGAGAGATTAAGTATTGAAGATTTATAACATGTAAAGCTGACTATTATATTGTTTTCTCTTTTTAGGATATAACTTTGCATGTTTTATTCATACTATTGTTGTTACCATACTTTCAATTATGAATGTATTATAAAATGAAATGAAGTTGCTATTTTTCTTACTATATTTTAATATAATTTAAAAAATTTCCTGTGTATTTACACACAACAAATCATCATGTTTTCTTTTGATATATTATTTTATAGATTGATTTACTTGTGAAGGAAATATACTTTAACTTATACAAGAAGCATATTTTTTATGTGCCTTAAGAAAAGGCATCGGACCAACCATAAAATCAGTTTAAGTAGAATTGGCATTATAATTTTTAACTTTTTTCCACTTCCATTTGTATCTTAATCACTAATATCTCTTTACATTTACTTTGTCATTGTGTAGGTTTATAATGAGATATAGATGGCTATTTATTTTAATATATTTTTAAAGATGATCATTGTTTTCTCTTTTAAATTGTACTGTCTTAAATTATATTTATTTTTTATGCATTGGTCGCATTTGATATATTGAGTCCCTTTTGTTATCCTCTTTCACTTTTTGTTTTCCATGCAATTGCCATTAGGTTGCAAATTTTATATATGATTTTACATACTTGGTGCAAGCAAATAATTCCATCATTTCCTTTTACTACAGCTTGTAACTTAATAATTGTAGTTTGTAATTGTTTTATTCCTACTTATTTGTGGATTATGTATTTTCTTAACTTCAATTTTTAAGGATTTCATTTTCATTGAATCCAATTGTTTCAAATATTAGGAGTTTCCTTTGTTATATATATATATATATATATATATGTTATATTCAAATATGTGAGCTATGTTAGTTTATTTTTGAGGTCCCTTTGTTTCAAATGTTGTTAAATGTATACAAATTTATATAACATATAAATTTTTATTAAATATCATTATTTCTTAAAAATAATATGCAGATAAGTAATAAATTGTAAAAAAAATAAAATTGTTATTAAAATAACTTATCATACATTTGTATGAATAATAGATAATAAATGTTTTGTTGTGAAATCATATCTATTTTTTTTCTTCATAGGCCATAAAATCCCTTGAAAGTAAGAATTTGTCAATGTTTTCTAACTCTATCATTGAGAAAGTTTTAAATTGGGGAAAACTGTGCTATAGTATTTTTAATAAAACTCAATAGATTATAAGCTCTTCAAATAAGTAAAATCTAGATTTATGTTTCACTTGTCTCAATCCTATGTTGTGTAAAAATATATAGATACATTGGATGAATGTTTGATCTCACTTCCAACTTTATATTCTAAGTTTTATTGGTTTATTTCAAATTGGTTTCACATAAATTATTACATTTTATGCAATTATTGATTGTGCATTTGTATGATTTCAATATTATGACTTATTAACCAAGATTTTCTCTTATTCTTTGTAAGAATAATCAAGATTTCTTAAATTAAGTTTTCTTCAAATTTAAGAAAAAAAAGGGACACATGAATGAGATTTATTGTTTTGTGAGTTTCACACACATGATTTTCGTTTCTTCTTTCCTCCTGTAATTATTTCATCTTATGTTTTATTAAACCATTTAAACTAAGGTTTTAATGCATATGTTCTTATTCTAGAAATCATCTGCAAGCTGCAACAAATACAAAGGTATAGTTTTTGAAAAAAGTTAAAATAAAATTACAAAGGTCTACTGCATTACTCTTATTCTAGAAAAGAATGACGAAATTTATTAATAGAACAATTATAATGTATAATGACTCTATTATAAATAAATCTACATTAAATACAACATCAAAGTCACACTCTATTAAAGCCCAAACTTTTCGTAAATATACATACCTACATAATGTCTAAAGACCTAAAAAAATAAATCTCCTCATCTCCTCACTAAATCCTATGCATCGCATCAGACATTTTTTAGTTTGTCTAATGCTTTAATTTTTTTTTTTGGGAGCGCTTTAAATTCTAGTACAAGGAACAAACTAAAATCATCTTCAAAAAGTCAAAACTTGTGAGATGACATTCACATTTTTGTTCCACCCAACATTTTCTCGACCTGAATGAGACCACATTCACATCCACCAGTCTGGCTTATTGAAATAAGCAGGGCAATTTAATTTAAGTGAAACAATGTGTTCCACATTAGAGCCACTAATTTGAAATAAGTTTGATATATTAGTCCAAATAAATTTGAAAAATCTTAAGTCAAGTTTGGAAGTTTAGAATTTTTGTTTTTTAATTTGAGCTTACTTAATCCTTCTAAACAAGCCCGAAGAAATTTGAGTCAAAATTGACCTTGAATGGATTTGGTTAGAATATTCAAATTCTTTTTATTATTAATAAAATAAAATTAAAATAAGATAAAATTGAAAATCTTATTTTTTTTAAGATTATAATTGAAGTTAGCCAAAAAAAAAAAATATTTAATGATTACCTAGGGTGTTGGAAGAGGGCTTGATTATATCATTTTTTTATATATTCAATTATTTTAAACTCAATACGCATAGGCTTAGTTCTCTCAATCTTCAAAGTGCCTTGTGGTCAGTGAGTTCATGACCTCTTATTATTATTGTGAATAAATATATTAGCATGGCCTTGGCAAGGATGGTAAAGAGTGTAAGCATAATATGACTAAGTCACAATGCTATTGGCGTCCAATGCTTCTGTAGAAGTCATGACAACATTTAAGTCATAGGTTCACATGATACGCGGACTTAGACTTGACCATTCAAACTTCAAAGGATGTGGGAAATGGCCTCCATGATCTCACAACCAACCATTTTGATCAGCCCACAAAAATACAGTGCGCGTCCTTTTCATCACTCTACGGGCACTCCATAATAGACTCAACAATGTAAGAAATTCACGACGATGATGGAGAGATATTTGTAAACATGCACATGGATTGTGATTTAGGGAGAATGACATTTAAGGTTATTTCATGGGAATTTATGATAATAAACACCCAAAAGTTTTATGTTGAATATTATTTAGTAAAATTATGTATATGTTGTTGTCGGATCCAAAAAAATAAATTAATGGGAGTATAATTTATACTTCAAGTAAATATTAATAATTTTATAAAAAATAATTTAAAATATCTATTAAATTACATTAATGGTAGAAGTTTATAAAATTAAATATTAAAAACAATGCATAAAACATAACATTATAATTTATAATAACATAAAAACTCTATTTATATGAACATTTTTTGTGATAAAATTTTTCATAAACAATTTATTTTTAAATTATTACCTTTTCATTTTAAAACTATTGCTATTTAAAGTTATCACACACACACAAAATTTCTCAATTAAAAAATATAATGCATTTTTTTAAGATTAGATGTTAAAAATATAAATATTTTTAAGTTTTTTAATGTGCACTCAATGATTTTTTTAAAAAATACTTTTAATAAACAAACCATTCAATCATTTCTTTTTAAATGAAATGTCATATTAAATAATAGTAAATATAAAAATTATATTAATTTAAAGACAATTAATAAATTTATTGATGTGTGATTGAATTAAAAATATTTTATATTTTTAAATAAAGAGTATAATTTTAAATAATAAAATTTTTAGTAAGATAAGAAAAATTTTATGAGGGGATAACTGATGAAATTCTTTGAAGTAAGTGGAGCAATTGAAAGCTTTTGAGAAGGGCAACTAAAATTATTTAGAACGTTTCTAGATATTTTGTTCTTTTTGGTGGTAGGGACAATTGCCCCCACTATCATTTATCATTGTCGTGGATTGATCCTAGTATATTGTTAAAAGTTGAATTAAGGTTTATCTTTTAATAATAATATATATGTATTTTTACATAATAATATCTGATATAAAACTTAGAAGCTCATATTGTAATTAATTCTTATAAGAAGATGCTAAACGTCATTGTTCCTATGATTTATGAGTAAGCATCTACCTATTTAAACTTAAAAAATAATATTTTAATAAATTTGGAGATTATATGAAAAGTATTTTATCGTGTTGAGATTTTATAAAATAGAATTTACTTTGTATATGGTTACAACAATAAAAAAGAATTATTATTTAGCCACTTTTAAGTTCTATGATGTCACTGTGTATCTGTTAAATCTCTTTATATAAAAATTAATATGTATTATTCAACGATTTTAAAATTTTATAATATCTCTTTGTATTTCTATGTTTTTATAAACCCCATCTCCCATATATTATATATGATTATTTTTAGAAGCCACTAACTTACTAATATTTTTTTAAATGAAAATAGAATTTTGAGAAATTTCACAGCGTTTGCTTCAAATTTTATAAAATAGTCAAAATATGTTTTTTTTATTATTCTAACAAATTATCACGTTAAATAGCTTAAGAAAATAATAGAGATACCTGGATTAAAAAATTTAAAATTAACTAAATAATACATTATTTTTATGATTGTAATCAAATGAAATTTATCAAATTTTATGAATATACCCCTTTTTTTGGCCAGCATTAAAATACTCCTTTAATGAAAAGAGAATGACATTGAAAACAAAGCTACGCATTGATTCTAATTTTTATATTTTCTTCAAATTTATTAGAATTCGATCAAACTAATTGATAATTTTAAATATATATTTAAAAATTTTATTTATGACATTATTTTATTTTACATAAAAAATATTTGCACTTTTATTTCATCCATCGAAACAATTTTGGACGCAGGTCGTACAATGATTGCGCGTGTTAATTCTCTTTTGGGGGCCCAATAATCAACCTCAGGCACATATAGGCCCATATCACAGCGCAAGAAGTTAAAAAAAAAAACAAAAGAACCAAAAAAAAAAAAAGGTGGAAGAAGAAGGAGGAGAAGAAAAAATAAAAAGAAAAAGAATACTGAGTGTACGAGTAGGGTTTAATTACTGGTCCTTTCCAACTGAAACCCTCTTTCGCAGAAGCCGAAGCCCTCTGCCTCTGTAGCAGCACGCCCCCACGAAGCTGCGCCAATAACAACCCTATAATATTCATCAAGCAAACTCGCACTTACGCGTATGTTCATATTCATATTTTAACATTGGTGGTTCCGTGGAAATCTCAAGGTTTTGCTGTGAAAATGGCGGAGAGCCTGTTGATTGATACGGAAACCAAGAATCCATTGGATTCTAGCTCGGATCCTTCTAATGGGTCGGTGTTATTCAGCCGGAGAATCGAGTTTCTTCCTGCGAAGAAGCCCTTCAAAGGATTTAGCGACGGAGGGAGTGATTTTAAGCTCGAAACTTTAAACCCCGTCACGTCATCTGAAGCTCGGCGACCTGGTTCCGGTCCGGGTGGAAAAAAGCATGATGGTTCCGAATTCTGTGATTATGGTTTGGATCCGGAGCTCAGTTTTGGGATTACCGTTCGAAGGATTGTGAGTCCGTCACTGCAATTTATTTGCTTTGGCTGCTTTCCTTTGTTTCTTTTCAATTAACCTGATTGCCACAGCTGAAAATGTGACAATGTTAAGGTTAATAATTTGGCATAAAAGTTGTTAATATAAACATGCCCTTCATTTTACCCTTTCTAAGGGTGAAAGCTGAAATGCCCTCATTGCCGTTTCCTCTCTATTTCCCACCTTCGTTATTATAGCATTCCCTTGAATTTATGTGTCTTAGACACTTGGATAGTTGGCATGCCTTCTGTTTTCATGTGTTCTTCTTGATATTAGGATTACCGTTCCAAGGACTATGATTGCGATCCCTACAATTAGCATGGCAAAACAACTGGAAGCTATTTAATTGTTTTCATGCCTTCTGTTTTCTTGGTATTCTTCTTGACATTATGATAATGATTACCACGTCAGACAATGCGACAATATAATTGTTAATAATCTGGGATAAAGCTCATACAGGGATCACATGCTACCAATAGCAAAACAACTGGCGGCTGAATCCAATGCCAGTCACAGCAGTTGCCTCCATGATTGAGTATAGGTGCTGTTGCTTTTGGGAGGCTGAGCTTTATTGATATGACAGAACAACGCCCAACGGCTGGGCATTTGGTCCGGTTGATATGGAACTAAACCAATAAAATAACATTGTAATCACGACTGACTATTCCTGCAATACAGCCCTCATGGAACACTATATGATACTCCTTTGATTTTATTTATAAGGCAGGGAGAGAAGAAAAAATTTGATCCTATTTATAGGGCATTTACTAATTTTCAATGCTCTTCTTTACATTTTTGCTCTTATTAAATGTTTTGAATAAAAATATCAATAATGAGGTTTAAAAATATTTATTAGAGATAAAGGTACAAACTTATTAAATTTTAAGATAAAGTTAATAAAATTTAAGGTTTTCTTTGTTCCAATGAAATATGTTGGAAGTGACTTATAAATAGGATTAGAAGAAATAGTTGGTTCCACTGTCTGGACATGGTTTGTTTGGTTGACCGGAAAAGCCACTGGTGTTGAGTATTGATTTAAATTTGTCCATTCACACAGAAATTTTTTTAGCTATATTTTTTGTTTATATGTGTATATATAATGTCCCTTTAAGAAGAGAATCTTTGCAGAAAGAGAGCCCAGAGGTTTAGCCAGCAATTGTCTACTTTTTCTTCTCAATGAGAGGCTTCCCCAATTACACTGCTTTCTCAACCTCCATGTTATTCCCAGTTGATTTCTATAATTTCAATTAGAGATACTCTTAATCTTCTCTTTCTTATGAGTGAAAACTGAAACTTGTCTGTTTCTGCTCCCTCTCTCTATCTTCCACCTTCGTTACCTAGTACTCCAATTTTGTTTTATTTCATATTTCCATGGTTGGCACATCTTGCGTTTTTGTGAATGCTTGTCAATGTTGGGTTAAAAAATGCTCTTCAATAGTGAAATTTGTCATTTTGGTATGTTCATTGAATTATTGTAGGTTCCGTTGTGTTGCTTGCTTGATTGTCATAGGAATCAGTATTCTAGCTTTTGAATTAGTGGAACATAGTCTTCTTCTCCTGTCAACGGCAGACAGATGATGATAGCTTCTCCCTGAGTGAAGCTTCTCATGTGCTCATCATGACTCTGTTTATGGGTTCTGGACAATGTTTCATAAATGCAGTGTTAATCCTGCATATTTGATTTAATCGTTAAAATGTTATCAGTTCAACTAATTTTTTGGGGCTCACTCTTCAAACCTTTCACAATGCTAGCATAATTGTAAATGCTTTTGTTTGATACTATCATAGCTCTTTATTTGTTTATTCTGGGTAAGGACATGGCATGATATGGTTTTAAGTTGTCTGTGGGTTTGATTACAACTTGGTATTTGTTATTTTCAGGGAGCTGGCTTGCGAAATTTGGGAAATACTTGCTTCCTTAATTCAGTATTGCAGTGTTTGACATATACAGAGCCTTTAGCTGCATACCTGCAAAGTGGAAAGCATAAAAGTTCTTGTGAGCTACTCTCAGCTTCATTTTCTATTCTATTTTGTGACATGTACCTTGTACAGGTTTTGTTTATGAAGTACTTTATGTTTCCCTCTTGCTCTGGGGTAACATTGTTAATTAAGTTTTCATAATTGTTAAGCTGCTGCAAATGAAGTTTGCATGTGTATGAGTGTGTGAAGGAAGGTATTATTTCATTTAATTTCTTCTTACATTTTATAATCATTGTAGGTCATGTTGCTGGATTTTGTGCTTTGTGTGCAATACAGAATCATGTCAGTCGTGCACTTCAATCAACTGGGAGAATATTATCTCCAGAGGATCTGGTTATGAACCTGCGCTGTATCCTTGTGTTTGATTCTATGCTTTTTGAATGGATGGTTAGAGAAAACTAATTTTCCATTTCCTTCTGATGTTGGTTATTTGATAAGAGTTGAAACTGCCCATCTTCAATTGTTGTGATTCTTTTTTATGAATTAGAGAAAACAGAGAGCACAATGGAAATTAGAATTTAATTTCATTAGGCCATATGTGAATTTGTGAAAACTAATTTTTTACTCCTGCCCTGAATGTGAATTTAGAATTTAATCTTTTTGCATAATGGAGGATCTTGGCACAAATGATTGTTCTTATTGGGATGCCAAAATATCAATTGGCCCCCAAATTGTTAGGAATTGATTTTGGTTATGATTTAAAAAAAAAAAAATTCTTCCTTACAATTGACGTGGAACTATTAGCTATATATTTCATCATATAGTTTGTGCATTGGTTACAGCATGTTGTGTTCTACTTCTGCTATTTCTTTTGGGGTATAATATCAGTTGATTAGATTTTGGTGTGAAGGAAAATTTCATTTACTCTTTTGTTGAAGATGGCTTGATCTGTGAAACAACACTCTATGCACTAGATTATGTTAGCTGAGGCATTATGAAGCCTTCTTGGGTTGATGTCAGTAATTGTTTCTTGATTATATAATAATCTCCTCTTAAGTTGTATTAGAGTTTGCACTTCTTGACAATGAGATAGGCATATCACGGAATTTCCGAAATGCAAGGCAGGAGGATGCACATGAGTATATGGTCAACTTGCTTGAATCAATGCATAAATGCTGCCTGCCTTCTGGAGTTCCAAGTGAATCCCCTAGTGCCTATGAAAGGAGTTTGGTTCACAAGATCTTTGGTGGTCGCCTTCGTAGTCAGGTATCTCTGGTTTTCTTCCTGTTGGGTTTCTCTGGAGAAACCTGTGATCAATAACTATTGTTTGGCTATGACCAGGGAGTCTACGTAAAACAGACACATTTTCAATGACAAACATGTTTTTGGCTTCTTTTGCAGGTCAAATGTCATCAATGTTTGAATTGCTCCAACAAGTTTGATCCATTCTTAGATTTAAGTCTTGAAATATTCAAGGCAGATTCATTGCAGAAGGCACTTTCAAATTTCACAGCTGCTGAGTGGTTAGATGGAGGAGAAAGACAGTATCAGTGCCAACGATGCAAGCAGAAAGTTAAAGCTCTCAAACAGCTTACTATTCATAAGGCACCATATGTTCTGACCATTCATCTAAAGCGGTTTTATGCTTATGATCCGGGACAAAAGATTAAGAAAAGAGTTCAGTTTGGCTGTGCACTGGATTTGAAACCTTTTGTCAGTGGTTCCTATGTGAGTAACTTTTTTCATTAGATAAAAGCTGCAACACTTTCTTTGCACATGCTATTTGCTGTTCTTCCAATTTCTTACAATTAGATAAAATGTTAGATATATAGCCCTTATATGAGGTATGAAGGACCCAAAAGCGCAATATCACTTCACTAAAAAATGATTTCTGCACGCCACAATGGATAAAGCTTCAGGGAAATGGTTACAGACACAAAACACAGGCAGTCATTCTCTCAATTTCCAAATTTGCTGAAACCACCCTCTTCTAAGATCATTTTCCTGAATACATGAAAATAACATGTAAACCACATAAAACACACAGATAACAAATAAACTACATAAAACAGTAAATCAACACTAACACCATGTAACAATGTGTTTTACACAAATAACTATCCTCAAATGATGTTTTGCTTATTGTCAAATGTTGAGCTATGTTGTTTGATTGTCTCCTATCTGTATTGACAACGTGTCATCTTGTTTAAGTCATATTTATTGACAATCTTTGGCAGGAAGGAGACTTAATGTATTCTCTTTATGGGGTGCTGGTTCATTCTGGCAGCAGCACTCATTCTGGCCACTATTACTGCTATGTCCGCACAGCAAATAACATGTGGTACACCCTGGATGACAATCGGGTATGGAAAACAATCTCTATATGGAATTCTTGGCCTCTGATTTAGATGAATATGAAGTTGAAGTAAGAAAAAGCAGCCAGATTTTTTCCTGGAATTGGGAACTTAGTATGCATGTTTTCCTCAAACTCCATTCACAGCTATAGCACCTATTAGTTGTCATTTTGATGTTTCAATTGTACTTGATTATAGCAGCCTGTGAGCATGATGTTTATATTTATTGGTTGCTATGTGCACAATTTTGGAGGATTATTGGCTTTAAGATGGTCTGCATGCATTTTCAACTTCCTTTTTGTTGACTGTGCTTGGAAAGAATATTTACATGTGGGCAGATGCTAGGATGTTTAAATTGTGTTCTTCTATGGGCTTCTCATCACTGTAACTTGGTACCACAGGTGAGCCATGTTAGTGAGCGGGAAGTTCTGAATCAGCAAGCTTACATGTTATTTTATGTTCGGGATAGAAAAAACATTGTTCCAAAGAAGCCTGTTGACATGGCCCAGAAGGAGAATATGAAAGTGAATGTGAGTGCAAGTAAAGCTTCTGTAAATTCAAACCAAGCTTTGAAGAAAGAATTGGTTCTAACTGGTCGAGCAGAAAATTTACTCAGCAATACATCTTCCACTGCTGAAGCTCATAAAAGTTCATTAAATATTGATTCTTTGAGGGGTTCCTTATCAAAGGAAGCATCAAATCAGCAAAGAAATAGCTCTTTAAAAGATCAGTTGATACAAAATAAACAATCTGTATCCGAACTGTGTTCTCAGCCATTGGCACAAAAACAGTCATCTGAAGTGCTCTCTGTTGCTAAACCAGAACCAGAAGGCTTGTTGCCATTAGGTGAACGTGTAAACAACAGTTGTCCTCATAATATGAAAAATTTAGTTGCTTCAGCAGCTGTCTCAATAAATAAGGGCAAAGAGAATGGTGTTTCCAAAGAGGATGTGAAAGACATTCTCTTCTTGGCACCATCTGTTAGTGACCCTGAAAAAGCTGCTTCTCAACCTGTTACGGATGAAACCTCTTGGAAGGTAAATTATTTCATTTCACAAGCTAATATACGTTTGGGGCAGAGTTGGTGCTCTTCAAATTATATTGGTGACTGAACTGTGATTCTCTCTTTATGTAGAATAATGATGTCACGAAAGTTGATGTCGCTACAGTTGGAGGTTCAAGTACGAATACATCAAAGAGCACTGCTACAATTTCTCTAATTCAACCAGGCAATAGCAGCTGTCTGGTATATTTTCCCCTTAACATGGCCTTTACTTTGGGCCTGGTTGACTGTGTCTTTACCCTCTTCTTTTTCCTTTTAGGTTGGAGGTTCTGCAACTGGTTCAGTATGTGACAAATCAGGTAATCAAGTGTGTGAAAAGGTTGCTGGCAATCAACCAATGATTCTTGATAAGTCAGGAAGATCAATGGATATTGATGGCCTTGGCCACAAGCGCTTCAAGAAGTCAAGGAAGAAGCTTTTGAAGTACCAGGTTTCAAGTTTGCATGTTGGCTCTAACTTCCTTGTGATGGCATACTTAGGTTTGCGGAAGAAAAAGAAACACAAAAAAATCAGACACCAGACTTTTGATATAAAGAATCGAAGTAAAGAAAAGCTGGATGAACATATCTTCTCATCAGATGTGGGGCCATCAAGTAGTGTTGGGAGTATTGGAACCAGAACATCTGATAAACGTGCTGCTAATCATCTGTCAATGAACTTTATTAGTGAACCAGTGATGGGAAAATTTGCCAATGGAGAATTCAGAAAGAGGATTGATCAAGACTCTGCTGTGCTTGCTACTGCCAAGCTTGTAGAAAAGGTCTCCGGGCATAGCACAGTTGCAAACCAATGTGATTCTAGATTGCCCAATAGGCTACAAGATGGTAACAGAGAACAAATGCATTTTAGTATGATTAGTAAGCTTAGCCAAGGTCTAGAGGGTGAGTTCTTGTTACTTCTCTCCTGGTTCCTGATTCAAGCCTTGATACCTCTTAATATCTGACGTGACTGTTCTTTATTTTGGCGCAGTTCCACGTTGGGATGATGAAGAATTGCCATCATTTCAGTCCATTGAGCCGAAGAATGAGATCATGAGCATTGGATATGTTGGGGATGAATGGTAAGTCTAATTTTAAAATTCCTTTTTATCATTAAGCAATGATGACATGGCAAATGGTATTCTCTCTGGGAAGCCAAATATTCAAATAGTGCATGTAAATCATATATATACAGATAGTTCCCCCCCCCCCTTTTTGCCTTGTGGTTTTCAGTGACATGTCCGACATAGATCTTTTTTTTTTTCCTCCATATTTTGGTGGAAAAATTTTCAAGTGGGAAGGCATCGCATGCTTAATGTCTCCAGGACGCATCAGAATATCAGATTTTTTTTTTAAGGATAAATAGTAATTTTGGATTATCAATTTAATATTGATTATACAGTATATTAATATAGAAAAATACTTTTATTAAAATAAATTGCCATATAGCTTTTCCATACCCTTTTTTTTTTGGCATAAGTTGCTGTGCATAGCATTGAATTTTGTACTATTAAATGCAACTGCACGTGACTGGCTGGTAATTTTGTGTACTACTTACAAAGCAATCTGTTGTCTTAAATTATTTAGGGATGAAGAATATGATAGGGGGAAGAGAAAGAAGTTAAGGCCGTTTAAGCACAGCTTTGGGGGGCCAAACCTTTTCCAAGAAATTGCCTCTGAGAAATCTCAGCTTAAAAAGATGAAGTTGGACCGATGCAGGTCAGGGAATCTCCCATTCAGGATATGATGCTTTTGGATATTGTTTGTTTGTGGTAGAAATTAGTAATTTGTCGAGCTGAAATTGTAATGGAAAATAGCACTTGCTCATTTTCCTAGTTCAAAGTTTTGAGTTCCTTGCATTATTTTGCCCTATTAGGCTTTACCATATATATGTCTTGGAGGACATTTCTCATTTCAGAGATGTTCTTGAAGAGAAACGAAACCCTTGTATTTCTTCTGATTTAGCTGCCTTGAGTGGCTTACAAATTTTGTTCCTTAGTTCTCACCTATGCACGATCATGTTCTAACACGTCAATCTGTTCCTTGTATCATTTATTATTTGGATAGATGTATTTTGCTATGTACTTGAGGACAATAATCCGTATTTTCATCATCATCGTCATCTTTTAACTTTGCTTATGTTTTGTAGTTAGTTCTAAGTGTGGATAAAGGAGGGTGGTTGTGTTAGGTTTATAATAATTAATGTGAAACTATCAAATTTTATATGAATATAGACAATAGATGTACCTTTATGTACTTTTGCTAATGTTTAATCGTTGCTCTTAAGCAACACATTTTATTTGTTAATGAAGCAAAATTATGTCATGCAATTTATATAAATATTACTGATTTTATCACGTGATGAAGTTGGTTGGTTGTTGATTTTATGATTTTCGTGTGGAATGGTAATGGTCATTTCCATGTCTTTCTATCCCACAGCTTGTAGGTTTACAATTACAAGTTAGTTTTCCCTCTTGATTTAATAATTGTAAAATTTGAGTTTTCTTTTTTAAATGATGATAATCCTAATTTTCTCGTGTTCTCAGAGTCATGAACCATTATTGGATATTTGATTGTGCAGTGGGTTAAGTTTTATTTTCTTGTAAAGGAATGATAATTTTTAATAGAGGTTAGCATATATTAATTTGTTTAGATGGTAAATTGTAAGACACTAATAATTGAACAGGACACTTCCACCAAATGAACAAACCAATTTATCAGGGTCAAAAAATGAACTGAAATGATTGAGCTTTTGGGTATGGAACGTCTTGCTCAGGTTTTTTCCTTTGCCAAAAATAAAAATCTAATTAAATTTGAAGTTTAGCTGTATACAAACCAACAAATATGGATGCTAGAAGCCTGGTGCCTAGAACTTCATTTAAAAGAAAAAAAAAAAAGAAAGAATACGAAAACATTTGTCAATACTCAATAGTTTACATAAAATAAAAAACCACCTGTATACATAATTTCATTTAACAAATTAAGATAAGATTCAAAAAAATTAATAAATAGATTTGAAGTAGAATGAGAATTTATTTAGGTTTTTTCGGCTTAAACACTAACTCAAATCAAAATGACAAAAATAACTAAAAAAAAATAACTGAACTGACCCAAAAAAATTGACATTACCATCCAAGATAGACCAGATTTGGTTCGGTTCAGTGAGATTTTGTACACCACCTAATTTCAACTGCAATAACATAATCTGATTTTAAAAAACAGCATAATAAGGATTTAAAAGCACCTTCCTGGCCTTTTGAAAAAAGAATTGGCCATAGTTGCTTAAGTACAAAATTTTGAGCTTTGAGTTTGAATATAGAAAATATTTTTGAGTTATTTTCATTTATATTTGACAATGCTCGATTCTGACTTAGTCAAATAGTCATATAAAAAAAAAGAAGAAGAATGGATGATTAATAGAAAATTGTCTCTAATAAAAAGATATTTGTATACAATTCAAAAAAAAAAATCAAGTGGGTTGAAAAAAAGTGAAAACAATACATTGGGCCTCCAAGGAAGTGTTCAGGACACCATAACTCAATCACATAATTTTCTTCTTTCTTGGCTTCTAAGCCTGTGTAGTGTCCTATGCCTCGGGATTATTTCCAAGAGGCCGGGGTTTAGAGGTGAGATTTAAGTGGACTTGGCTTATTACATGAACTCAGTTTTTATGAGCTCAGGCCTTTAAGTCCAACTTTTTTAAAAATAACTGATTTCTAAAGCTCAAGCTTAAGATTGGGTCCATAAGTTTGTTTTTATTATTTTTTTAAATTTTTTAAAAATTAGAAATTTTAATTATAATATTTCATTTTTTAAATACAAATTATAATATTCCAAAATTAAAAATAAATAATAAAAATTATAATTTTAAAATATAAATATGTATTTTAAAGTTTAAATTTAATTTAGAAATTAAAATATTTTATTTTTTAGAGATAAAACAAAAAAGGGCCTAAAATGGACCCCCAAGTCTGATCCTATTCTTTTAAGGTCTATTAGAGCTAGGTTTCAAAGCCTGATTTTTTTAAAAAATGTCATTTATTCAAACTTGAACTATTATAAAAATGCACTTAAACGGATGGCTTATCAAATGCGGCCCTTATTTCCAACTCTACCAAAGCTCTTCGCATGCATTTTTTGATGTGCATGTGTGGTCAATGTTAATATATTGTTGATATGGATTTCTTTTTTATATAACTATTTAATTAAATTAAATTTGAGTATTGTTGTGTTTAATTAGGAATAACTATTTCAAAGATTTTTTTTTTTGTTACTCATAAGTATTTTTCTATTAGAGCCAATTTTATTTGAGGTACTGTTAGGCATTAAATGTGGGTATCTTTGTCAGTGAGAATTCAAATTTTAATTCACTATATTATGAGAAATTAGCCTTTTTCATTAGACCCAACCTCAATTGCTTTTCTAAGATATTTTTAGAATTCACACGAATGCAAAGCCATTTCATGGTTAACTAACCATAACTCATTTCACAGATCAACGTGGTTCATTTGGATAATTTCAATTTATATAGTTTTAAAAATAGTTCCTCTGTTTCAAAATGTCTTTTTAAGAGAAAAAAATTGTTCCATTTTATATATTTTTTCATGATATGCCCTTATTTACCGCCGCAATTTCAAAGAGCATTTCTTAAACTTTAGAGACAAATTTGGCAATGTAGTCAAACTTTTTTATATTAATTTTTTATTTCGTAATCTATGTGCAGATAGCTTAAAAGACTTATATTTTAAAATGGAGGGAGTAATAAATTTATTTCATAAATCTTTTAGAATCTTAAATTATTACTGGAAAAGAATGATTATATGGTGAGTCTCTTGGTATTTTGGAACACTAAATTTGGCTTAATGATTAAATAACAACAATAATTATTAATCTTGTCCATCCCACATCAGCAAATTGACAAAAAGTGAGAACTCTCGAAGAATGCTCGTACTTTTTATCCCCCACCGAAAACAGCAAATCATACTAACCCACTTTTAATATTTAAATCAATAGTTAAGTGTGGTCAATTTAGATTAAGATTAGTACTTTAGGAGATTAAAAAAAAAAAGAAAAAGATTAAAAAGGAAACATGAACTCTGTTTTTATCTGACTAATGTTGAACTGTCATTTACTATTCTCTTTCCTTCCTAGACATTAAGTTTGACTGAAATAGAGAGAGAGAGAGAGGAAATATAACATTAGTTCCATGCACTTTGATTATTTTTATTTTTAGTCCATATAATTTTATTTTGTAGTTCTCAATCCCTTTAATTTGATTAGTTTGTAATGTTAGCTCCTATCATTTTTAAAATATATATAAAAATCATGAGCTGACACTAATGGAATTAATTTCACTATGACTCTACTAACCGCTTGCTAACATGGAAATAAATTGACCAGGTATAATTAAAAATAAAGGGTAAGGAGAAAAAGCTTTTTTTTTTCTTTTTTATATTTGGCTTAAACAAAATATGGGAAACATATGCGAGATTAAGTATGTCAGCAAAAAAGGTTAACAAAATTAAGTATATGCTAGCAAAATTAATTTGCCAACTCCAGCTCATAGTGTTCATGTACATTTTTAAAATTGTATGAACTAATGTTATAGACGAATCAAATTAAAGGAACTGGGAATAATGGAATAAAACTATAAAAAGTAAAAACAAAACACAATTCAAATATATGGAATCTATTATTGTATTTCCTTATATAGAGGTAGAAATACTTACAAGTACAAAGTGTTTTATTTCATCAAAAGGGGTTAAAAATATGGATTGCATTATATCATTGTATCTATCAATAAACAATTCTTTAAGTACATTGTTCATCAGAAAATCTCATTCGATAATGTCTTTCAGTGTTTTTCCTGATTTTTTCCACCTCTTTTCACATGATTCAAGATCATATATGTTAAATCAGTGTTTGAAAAGTAAAATCTCCCAAACATACAATAATCTTTGAAGCTATGACAAATCTACAACCTAAACTTTTTAAGTCGAGTACCATGTGATTTGGAAGTTCATCATTGAGGGATTAGGGTATCTTGTAGTTCCCTTTTACATGGTGTTCAAGTGATAATGTTAGCAAAAGGAGACAATTACATTTAGGTCCCTCACAGTACAATTAAATACTATAGGGTTTATTGATAATTGAGTATAACAAAAGGATAACTTTAGTTGTTAATGAAATATTTAATTGTGTTATGGGAGAATTGGATGTAATTCTCTCAAAAAATAAATCTATTATAAATGAAATAAAAATATAGAAATGACATAAAAATATTTCCTTCACAACTACATTTGAACACTAGATGAAAAAAGCATAGTAAGGGATCCATAATTAATTAATTATTATGAGGATTAAAGGGCAAAAACACTCGATATTTTTTTTAGGAGCACTTAATATTATTAAGTGAAGAAAGATGTTGGAATACCTATGAACTTATTTTAATATGTGTAACTTTATCCATCTCTTTAAATTTGCTTGATGTCTATTAAGACATTGATGTTTACCATTAAAAAAAAAAAAGAAGCGGACATAAGGTGCCAAAATACCCTTTTAAGTCACATATGTTGGAGCAAAATAGTCCCTCTTTAAATATAAATATTACCTAAAACTCATTCAAATTACCAAAAAAAATCAATGCATATATTTTTTACTTTTTTAGTTATGTAAGCATGTTTATTTAGTAATCATTTTAAAATTTAAATACATAAATTGACTAAAATAATATTTCAAAACATAGTTTTGAAAACTTAATGAAATAAGAATTTAATATAATAAATTAATCAATATAATTTGTTTTTATTTTTTAAAATTTTATTAATATTAACACAATATTATTAAATTATTTATTTAAATATCAACATACTTAATTATTCAAAGTTTTTAAATTGGTAGAGAAACCAAACAATTAGATTATTGGGAAACTTATTGCTAAAGACCTGGATTTATTAGGAAGGATCTTAAAATTAGTAATTATTAGACCAATTACCAAAATATAAATTTTAAAATAAAAAATTGTCCTTAATCAAATCTTCTATATTTTCTTTAACCATATCTCAAATTGGATTTGACAATTAGCAATAATAAATAAATAAATAATACTAGAAATCA